GTGGAAGCTGAAGTAAAAGTAGAATTTAGTGGCAGGCAAAGGCAGAGTCACAGAGAGGACAGCAGACATCCTAACAGGTGCTCTGAATAAGAATATCCCCTGCAGTTCTTTAATCTGTAATCCAGGCATATGCCAGGTGAGGTAATAGACCTCTGTCTCCTGAGCTGAGCCCTTCCTGCGGCTCTTTCCTACAGACTGTAAGGACGGCCTCCAATGGACACTACCAATTAGGTCTGTTAAAGGTCATTATCAAGGACATGGTAATGGTTGTCTGCCACCACAGTCAAGCAGAGGAAGTCCTTCCTGAAAGGCTCAGGGAGCAAAAGTCTCGTGGAGTTAGTTAATCTTGCTAGACAGCCATTTAAGGGTGGGGGTATAGTGCATTGCGATGAGACTCTAAAAATATACAAAATATAATGTATTCAAAATGCTTCTTACCTGATTGCACATGTTAAAGAGTTGATCAACCAGCAACTGTTTTCAACATCTTCATTTATTAGACATGGACATGGCATTAGTTCCAACACAAATTGCATTCACCTTCAAAATCCACTTATTTGCGAAATTTCTAGGTGTACCTGCAATTGTAGAAAAGTTCATTGTAACTTAACAAAAAGTAAAAAAGATAGGTTTAAAAAAATATTCACTTTTTTCCCCACCACACTAGCTAATTTCACTTTTTGCTTATTGCTTATAAATCCCACAGACTCAGGACTGTAATGTAATGACTCTTGAACCTCAGTGAGATGAATACTACTTAAGAGTTCCTAAAGTTCAGGACCATAATACATAATTGAATATAACTGTAAGTGTAACCTGAACCTGTGAAACTCTAACCACGATTTTTGACAATATGTTCACAGGTGGAGCTGGTACAATTAGTGGTTGATGGAGTTAACTACCTGATCGAATGTGAGAAGAGGCTGGAGAGGGGGCAGGACATCAAGATCCCCTCCCCCATCCCTCAGTTCAGGAAGTGAACATCACCTTTGCAGGGAATCCTGGAAAAGAGTAGGCACTCCAACCACCGTTAATTAAACTGTTGGTCTAAAAAGATATTCATGGTCTGTATAGCACTGTACCTACTTACAATAAATAATTTACGTGCATATTAATTCTAGAGTAAATAAACTTGATTGACAAAACAAGGTGTATTTTTGGCAGATGTCCTACAATGTTGGTGGTGTTAGACTCTGTTTTGGAAAATGAATCACGATGTAAGGATATATTCTCCAAATCCAATAAGGAAAGACCAAGTCAAACCTCTCTCAAGGGTCATTTATGCATAACCAGAACTTTTACTTTCCCTTCTTTAATTACATTTTGCTTTTGCTACAGTTTTGTATATATTTACTTATCATGAAGTGGAATTATTGTATTGGTACTTTTAGTCAAGTAGAAGATCCGAATATTTTTCCCTCCACTTGTACATCAAATGTAGCCAGGTTATGTGTGTTTATCTAAAAAATAACATGTTACAATAAATTAAATAGTCTAAGCAATTTATAAAAACAAGGTAATTAGAAAGAGCGTAATCTAGGTAAAACAGAAAAGAAAGCACAACTTAAGTGCAAACAACAACAACAACAACAACAACAACAACAACAACGCCTACTCACTCTAGTCCTTTCTATCCCTCAGAAAAAGGCCAAGGCTGACTGCCAGTCCTAATAAAATAAAGCTATATATTGCACACTAATGTCACAAACTTTCCAACTCTATATCTATGTGCTGAATCCCTGCTTGTCCTGACCCACAAATAATAATAATAATAATAATAATAATAATGCATTTTATTTATATAGCGCTTTTCACGACTCAAAGACGCTTTACAATATGAGGGAGGGTAGACAAACAAGGACAGGCAAACAAGTAAGTATAGTAAAATAAATAAAAAGGCAGTCAAGAGGAAATTGATTGAGAGGAGGGGGGCTTATGGGTAGGCAGAGTTGAAAAGATGTGTTTTGAGGCGGGACTGAAAGACTGTGAGGGACTCAGAGTCACGGAGATCTTGGGGGAGGGAACTCCCTCCCCCAAGATCTCCGTGACTCTGAGTCCCTCACAGTCTTTCAGTCCCGCCTCAAAACACATCTTTTCAACTCTGCCTACCCATAAGCCCCCCTCCTNAGTGCGTTGGTGTTCTGATCAGGGGGTTCAAACCCCACTGCAGTCAGCATGTCGTTGTGTCCCTGGGCAAGACACTTGACCCCAAATTACTCCTATGGGGATTGCCCACAGTATTGAGTATGTAAGTCGCTTTGGATAAAAGTGTCTAACAAGTAACATGTAATGTAATGGATTAAAGGCCTGAGACAGGTGAGGTCTGGATGCCAGGTTATCTACCGGCTGCTGAGAAGTGATCTATCCTTTTGACACTTTTTTAGTTATTGATGCTATTTCTTCACTTTCTGCTGTAACAGTGGCTATTACACCTCTTCAGCCTGTGACCACACCACGCCCCTCCCACTCAACTAATATTGCCCTCCTTAACATCCGATCACTCAACAAGAAAGCCCTCATCCTCCATGAACTAATCTTGGAAAAATCCCTTGATTTCCTTCTGCTCACCGAAACCTGGCAACAGCCCGATGACTTCTTCTCCCTCAACCAAACATCCCCCCCTGGCTTTAAATAGCATCACTAAACCAGGTCCCGCGCCTCGCCGTGGCCTTGCTGTAATCACATCGAAACATCCAGATCACAGAAATAACCCTCCCTCAGTATCATCCCTTTTGAATTCTTGCCTTCAAAGACTCCCTCGACTGACAGTCATCCTCATCAATACCGGACATCCTAAACGTCAATCTCACTTCTCTCGACTCGCGATTTCAGCTGAGTTCCTGCACACTTGGCGATCATCCTGGGTGTCTGCACGTCTGTTACTACTTGGGTGACCTCACATTCAACACTTGACTCACGCCACCCTGCAAGCTGGCATCCGAAAAAATTCACAACCACTACTGCACAATTCTCTATCGCGCAACATGTCACGCTTCCAAACCCATGACAACAGGACACATTCTTGATCTCGTCTGCCTCTACCAC